AACTGATAGCTTTCACATTCCAAACTAGACAACTGAATAGACTCAAACAACTTTGGAAACAAAAACCYCAATGAAATGAAAGAAAGATGACCCAAACAGTTATGCCAGAGCATACTCTGTCTCACCGACTCTGATCCACTACTGCTGCTGCTACTAACATGATGGTTCTAATGTCTCGGAATCTCATCCAGAAAGTAGACTCCATTCACCTCACGACTACTCCAAATCATCCTCCTTGATTCCAGATCCTGCAAAACACAATTACCAAGAAGAAAGGTCACTGAATAGTTCAAAATTTTCATCAGAGAGCTTACTGAAAAAAAAAAAAAAAAAAAAGATTAATGTTAGAGTTTAGGGACATGTAAGACAGAGGATAAAGTAATGTCATTAGTCACTCTTACTGTCCCTTTCCTAGCAATGGGAATATGGGAACCATCTGTTGTAGAGACTCTATCCCTACCAAAGCACAACTGGTAAGAACTAAAGAGGGTAGATATATTGGTCATGTGCTCAGATGCTCCTGAGTCTTTAATTTAGGGAGGTCCCTCCTTACCTGAGGTGGATACATGATTTGCAACTGCATATGAACTACCTGTATGAGCAAAGAAAGTAGTATGGTTGGCTCTTGTACTGTTCTACCCATCTGAAGAACTAGAATTGGCTAAATCCTTCTTACTCATAAGTTGTCCATACTTTTCCAATTTAGTTCTCACTGCTACTGTTGCAATAGACTCCAGATCAGCCTAGGAGAGGGGTCCTGAAGGGTCTCCTATAATCGCCACATTTGCATTTCCCTTCTTGTTCTTGATCCAACCTGGTATGAGATGAGGGTAAAGCTTCCAATAGGTGTCTCTGGTGTGCTTAGTCTTCTTGCAATAGTCACACACCAAGTCCTTATTGTCCTCTTTCCTAGCCTCATTACTCCCCCTGTCTCCATTTGGCTTAGATTTAACTATACTAACCATAGCTGACTCAGATCAATGCCAAGTTGTCTCAACATGACATTCCTCCTGCTCTCTTCCCCAGAGACAAAGGCATAAACTTGAGAAAGAGTCACACTTTCTCTAGAAAGGAGATGTTGCCTAGCAATGTCGAATTCAAGGTTCAGCCCAACCAAGAACTCAAAAACCCTATTCTTTTCTACCAACCCCTAATAGGTTGTTGCGTCCTTCATACTCTCCCAAACCATAGTTTCTAAGTGGTCGATATCCTGCCAAAGAGTGTCAGCATGGAGAAATAGGTGGCAAGAGGTGTATCTCCCTATTTTGTACTAATCACCCGATTCCTTAACTGATAGACTCTAGCTACATTTTGTTTCTGGGAATAGGTTTTAGTCACTCCATCCCAAATCTCCTTTGCAGTATTAGCCCACAAAAAATTTTTACCAATGTGAAGTAACATAGAGCTACACAGCCAGGTCATCACCATGTAATTCTCCTGTACCCATCAGGAGGGATCTGTTTCAGGTTTCTTCTTCTCACAATGATGTACCCCGATTTCCCATGAGCACCAATGGCCATCTTGACTGATTGTGCCCATTCTAGATAATTTGTACCATCAAACTTCACTATAGTAATAATTTCATACCCAAAAATATCACTACTACCTCCAACACCCAGACCCATGTTACTGGTGGACTTCTGTTCGGTACTCCAACTCTCCATTTTACTTCAAACAATTCAAAAGTAGAAAATAATTAGGTAGAGAGCCTCCAAGATCAAATCGATCTCACACACGAAGGTAATAGACCTTTCCGGAAGAAGAAAACCTTATCCGGAGAGAAATCTCTCTCCTCCCATTGTCTCCCACCAAAGAGAAAAGTGAATTGGCCACTCCAGTTCTTCCTGATTTTGATGCCAAAACATAGATCACCCTCTTGATGAATAAATCACACCAAAAAATCAAAGAACTAGGCAATCTAAAATAGATTGATCAGCCCTTTATCTCCTCATGCAATTAGCTGATCTAGGACTGCATGGAAAAAACTCCAAGAAACCCTAGCTGAGCTCTGATACCAAGTAGAAAAGTGCTGAAATAAAAAAAGAAAAAAATTTGTAAAAGAAAGGAATATTTCTTGTAGAATAAGAGAAGAAAGGAGAAAAGAGAAGAGATTTGAGAGAGAAAAGAGAGCAATAATGCTGGCTGCCCTCTTCACTATTATTTATAGTCTAAAATAATAAAGAGTACAAAGACCAATGTGCCCTTATAGGGCATCTAACACATAAAATGGCACAAAACAATTAAAATAACTTCTCAAAAAGGACCCAACAAGAGTGTTGTGGTCCCCACTTCCAATCTAAATAGTAAATAATAAAAAACTACCACTATAGACTACACAAGAGTGTTGCAGCTATTTTGTCCACGATTTGAGTCCCTCTCACCTCAAACTTGATCTCAAGTCTATCAAGTGTTTTTTTTGGGTTACTCTTTAGTCCAAAAAGGGTACAAGTGCTTTGATCTTAACTCTAGCCAACGGTATGTGTCTAAGGATGTTGCATTTTTTAAGCCTACTTTTTTCTAGTCACCTCATCCTTCTATTCAATGGGAGAATATTAGTGAAGATCAGACTCTTTTTTTTTTTTTTTTGTCTTCATGTTCCTGTCTCTGTAGATATTCCAGGTTTATCTTCCTCTTTAGTCTCTTCACACTTGCAGTGATGGTACTCCTACTCCTACTCTTACTCCTCCCCTTGTTCCTCAGCAACGTTCTTGATAATAGTGGTTCATAGAGCACAGAAGGAAGGCTACTCATAAGGCTAATTATCTCTGACAATTTGATCACCTGGCTCCAAGTAATTCTGAAAGCAACCTTGAACCTGAGATTCTTGTTGCTTTGAGCTTCTTATTCCCACTTTTACTAAACCTCATACCTTACAATGCAATACCTAACCTTGACCTTTCCATTGCGGTTCGAAAAGGAAAAACGAAATGCAATACCTATCCAATCACTAATTATGTTTCTTATAATGCCCTTTCACCTTCCTATTATGCTTATGTTTCTGCCATTTCCTCTATTTCTATTCCTTGTAACATTACAAAYGCAGTGCAGTCCTCTCAGTAGAAGGATGTTATGAACCTAAGAGATGGAGGCCCTTGTAAAGAACCAAACCTAGGAGATTGTTCCTCTTCCCAAGGGTAAGGTGTTGCAAGTGGGTGTATATAGTTAAACACTGGGAAGATGGCTCAATTGAAAGATACAAAGCTAGGTTGGTGGCAAAAGGATACTCCTAAACATATGGGATTGACTATCAAGAGACCTTTGCACCTATTGCCAAAATGAACTCTATTTGAGTGATTATATCTCTTGATGCTCAGTATTCATGGCCTTTATACCAAATGGGTGTGAAGAATGTCTTCCTCAATGGAGATCTTCAAGAGGAGGTCGACATGGATCTTCCCCAGGAGTAAGCTTCCCTGACAGTAGGGGGAAGGTTTGTTGTCTGAAGAAATCCCTTTGTGGGCTTAAAAAACCTCCTAGAGTTTGGTTTGATAGATTTAGAAACATTGTTCTTAAAATTGGGTTCATTTAATCACATGTAGATCATACTCTCTTCATAAGAAGAGTTAATGGCCTAGTGACTCTATGTATATGTTGATAACATTGTTATCACCGAAGATGATAACTCCAAAATAGTCCAAATAAAGTCATTTCTTGCTTCTGAATTTGAGATCAAAGGAAGGGTGCAAACTAGTTGAAACCCCTATTTACCCAAATCATAAACTAAATGCTAATGATGAAGACATTCTTCTAGACAAGAGTGTCTATTTGAGACTAGTTGGTCAGCTTCTTTATTTGTGCTTGACCAGAACTGATTTATCCTATGCCGTGAGTGTGGTGAGCCAGCAAATGCATAACCCCAGACTTTCACATATGCAGGCAGTTAACAGGATCCTTGCCTACTTAAAGGGGTGCCCAGGCAAAGGAATGTTGTATTCCAACCATGGGAATCTCAAGGTCGAGCCCTATACTAAATTACTAATGCTGATTGGGTAAGTTCTATGGACGATAGGAGATCTACCTCTACTTATTGTGCATCAGTGGGAAGTAATGTTATATCTTAGAGAAGTAAAAAGCAATCAGTTGAGGTTGGCAGTTAATTCATTAGAGAAAGGATAGTTAGTGGAGAAATGTGTATGCCTTTTGTTAAGTCAGATGATCAACTTGCTAATTGTCTTACCAAGGGCCTCCACCCTCCACAAGCCAAAGCTTGATAGAAACCTAGGAGATCAAGAATGATAGATATCTATACTTAGCTTGAGGGGGTGTTTTGAGATTAGCATTGTGGGTAGGAGTATTTATTTCTTTTCTCCTTATATATGTTTGGTCACCCATTCAAGGGCACATATGTAATTTCTCTTCTCTAAGATAAATGAGAATTTTCTTGGCTGTGAACAATAACACACCCTATTCTCCCAAAATTCATATACTCTTCATTCCAACTGAAACCAAGCATGAAGAGAGTACCAATAAAAGCACAACATAAGAAAGCAAAGATTTCACAAATTCAGAATTAACGCCCAATTTTTTATCAATAAAAAAACTTTCATTAATCAAACAAAATAATTAATTACGAAGAGGGGGAGATAAACTGTCTTAACTCCCCCAACAGAGGCTAGAGCCCAAAAACTGATAAAGACCAGAATTACAACTGAGCCTAAGAAATAGATTCCCTAATCACCCATTGCATGGCTAACCCATCAGAAAACAAGTTAACACAAACTCAACACCCAATCCATGACATTATATTGTTAGCATGGAAGAAAACAAAGACAAGGAAGACTAACAGATGACTTTGGAAGTAGATTTGACATTCTAATGACTTCATGCATGATACATCAATGTGTTACTTCTCAAGATTGAAATTTTGTAGAGATCATGCTCATCCATTTTTGTAGTGCATAAAGGGTATATAAGAGACCATTTTCCCATTAATTTATAAATTATAATTTTAATGCCCAAATTTCTTGAAAGATTGAGGCAAGCAATTGACTATGTTTTACCTGAGAAGAAAACAAAGTGCATCTTGAAATTGCTTCTTCATTCCACTGCACAAACTCAGTCACTACAGAAACTGATATCTGCTGTTGTGAAGATGCTATTGAAGCTCCCTTTGAGCGTCCAATTGTCCCACTTGACTCAGATTGCTGATGACTTTCTGCACGTAGTTCTTCCATCTGCCAAGGCATATGAAGATTTAGCCTATTGACAAACTTACATCTAATTAATACATTAAGCCAAAATGGAATTGTAGCTTAACAAGACAAGTTTTGGATTAAAAACCTTTGCCTGATAGAGCTGTCTTAGGCAAGCCTGCTCGTTGTCAGGATACTCATCTATGTGAGAAAGAAATAGAGATTCTATAAGGCCTAAAACAACAAAAATGGTTACTGTTAGTGCATAGAAAATGAGAGACCTACAAGGATCTGGTATAATGATAACAACAATAAAAGCAACTTCTCAACCAACATTAATCATTTAAAATATCTTATTATCTATAAATTCCATCACTAGAGAATCAAAGCCTGTTGTGCTCAAACAATGAACACTTCTATGTTATATCCAAAATAGAAAGCATAGCATTAGAACTTTGCTACTATATCAAATAAAACTGGTCAATCAAAATTTATGCATTAAACATTCATTGGAATTGTGGAAAATATTGCATTAAAAATTTATGAGACATCTGTCCACACCCATTTTTGGGCTGGATACATATTCTTAATGATAGTTTGTATTTCCACCATGATGCAGTTTGTACTATGTGCTGCAGAGGACATTTATGTCTTTTCTCCTTTTTTATTTTGTACAGTCGCCCTAGCCTATATAATCAAAATCTGGCTCCGCCAGCCCGAACTTTTGGCTCTCACATCTCTTTCTTCTCTTCTCCTTCTTCTCCCTTTCCTTCTTCCTTGCTGAAATCATGGTATCAGAGCAAAACAGTGCTCTGTATATTTTTTTCTTCATTGGTTGAAGACATCCTCTGTGTTCAATGGACTGAGAATGGAGAAAACAAGTTTGTTCTGGACCTAAGAACTCTTCAGGTGCACCTTTCTCACCTGTTCTGGGCTGAATCTCAACCGAAGTAATTCCAGAAGCTTGTTGATGACTGTTTGAGGCGGAGTGTTGTAATAATAGAGTTATGACCACAGGGAGTGAAAGTGTCTTTTTATCCTTTTCATTTTTAAGTGATGTCAACAATAATAAGGGCACCACCTGTCCAATCTTTGGATCTCCAATTATTCGATATTCTCTTCCTCAAATTTATTTCTCCTATCTCTTCTTCTTAGCTTTTTTTATCAGTACATTCTTCTTAGCTTCTTCTTTCTCTTTTCACTGAACTATAGAACTCTTTGGCACATAGAGAGATTTGTAGCTAAATTTGGAAGATGCTGATTAGAAATCTTTCCTATTTGCCTGGGGTATGAATTAGGGTTTCCTAGATGGATTTAAAAGTATATTTTAAGACTCCACTCTCAGATTTGATCTACCCTATACACCCTATGCAATTCAGCCATTGAAGAAGATAGTCTTCATATTGTGATTCCCCCTTCACTGCTCACTAACTTAAATTGTTTGAGTCTATTGAGCCAGACTTATTCCTACCTGTTTGCTCATTTGATTAGCATCTGTTGAAGGTTGATTTACTGCTCAAAAGTTTAGGGGTCGATCAGAGAATTGCAGAGAACATCCATTGAAGCGAGACTTGAAGTTGTGCCACTTGCAGCTGCTTGTCAGGATCAACAAGTGGTGGCAGTTTGTACTGTGAACACCATATTTTAACCAGCTACACTTTTGGTTGGGTTTCTCCATCAGATAATCTTCTTTTCTTGGTTTTGGGCTTGAGACATCATGATCCAATCCCCAATTTGATCCAGGTTGGAGAGAAGGTTTCTCTCTATGGTGCGATTTAGCAAATAGCAGTTTCTTGGGTAAATTTTGGAATTTTCCCCGGTGCGTTTTGGCCTATTAACAATGCATCCATCATCCAATTGATAAGACATGATATTTCCTGTATCATCCCTAAATGCCCCTCCGATACCTAATAGACCAGGATTTTTTTTATCAGCAACACAGAATTTTTTAATTGATAAGATTAAAAAGCATATACACAATCACGGTGGCCTCCATAATAGACCAGGATTTCCAATGATGCATCCATCAAAATTCTACTTGACCTGATCTAAAAAATGGTAGCCTCCACAATCCGTACCTCTTAAACCAAAGTCTTGTTTTTGAGGTATTTTCTATCCAACGCCAACCTATTGTGATGTCATCCATGGAAATTGAGGTATTTCACTCAATTTCCTGCACTTATAATTACAATTTCAGTAGTCGCTCAAGATTGAACAGACACTTCAAAGGAGAAGAAAAAAAATAAGAAAATAAGAGGAAGAAAAGAGAGAGAGAGAGAGAGAGAGAGAGAGAGATAGAGAGAGAGAGAGATTTTGATAAAAGTGAGTTGGGTTGATGTTTGAAACAGCCGCCCCCCTCTTAAATTTATATACATAGTATCATACTTGTAAAAGGACTGAATTGCTTACATGGCAAGATAAGATAAGATWAGATAAAGCTGAAAAAAGACTAATCCTAATCTTATAAAAGACTAGTCCTAATCTTATAAAAGACTAGTTCTAATCTTATCATAAAGAACTAATCCTAATCATAACTTATTACTGACATACGAACAGTGGGGACCACATTAGTGTTCTCTATACTCCCCCTCAAGTTGGGAATAGATGTTTGTCATTCCCAACTTGCATAGATCTGGCTCTAACTTCTTCCTTAAAACCGCCTTGGTGAGAAGACCTGCCAGCTGCATGTCAGAGGTGATGTATGGAAGAGATACTTCTTGAGATGTAACCGTTTCTCTAATAAAATGTCAATCCACTTCAATATGCTTAGTTCTGTCGTGTTGTACCGGATTATGGGCTATATTGATGGCAGCCTAATTATCACAGTACAACATCAAGGGTTTCTCATAAACAATACCTAACTCCTCAAATAATGATCTCAACCATAGAATTTCAGCTACACCATTTGCCATGGACCTATATTCAGCTTCAGAACTAGAACGAGAAACAACATTTTGTTTCTTGCTCCTCCAAGAGACAAGGTTACCTCCTACAAAAGCACAATATCCAAAGGTAGATCTTCGATCATCAACACACCCAGCCCAATCAGCATTTGTGTAAACTTCTATCTTAATGTGATCATTATTCTTGAATAAAATGCCTCTGCCTAGGCACCACCTCAAATATGCTAGTATCCTCTCAACTACAAAGAGGTGAGTAGTCCTAGGAGAGTGCATATATTGACTAACCACACTCTACCCTCTGCACTGATCTTGTGATTTTGTTCAATGGATGTGTCAGTAGGCTTAACACCCAACTTTCTTGTTTCTTCCAATAGGTCAAGAACATACTTTCTTTGAGAAACAAAAATCCCATGCTTGGATCTGGCTACCTCAATGCCCAAGAAGTATCGTAGTTCTCCCAGATCTTTTACCTCAAACTCTTGATAGAGTTGCTTAAGGGACTCACTCTCAATATTATCATTTCCTGTTACTACAATATCATCCACATATACAGCAAGCAAGGTTAAGGAATAATCCACTCTCTTAATAAATAAGGTGTGGTCTGAATGGGCCTGTACATATCCGGACCTTTCAATGGCTTGTCTAAATCTATCAAACCAAGCTCTGGGGGACTGTTTTAGTCCATACAAGGCTTTGTTCAACTGACAAACCTTCTTTCCTGTCTTTGTACCATAAAATCCAGGAGGCAACTGCATGTAAACTTCTTTTTGCAAGTCTCCGTTGAGGAAGGCATTTTTAACATCCATCTGATACAACGGCCAAGAGTAACTGGCTGCAAGAGATAATAAGACTTTGATAGTGGTCATCTTTGATGCTGGTGCAAAAGTTTCCAAGTAGTCGATACCATATGTTTGAGTAAATCCTTTTGCAACTAACCGGGCCTTATACCTTTCAATAGAACCATTAGCATTATGTTTCACACTGAATACCCATCTACATCCAACTGGTTTCTTATCTATAGGCTGATCAACCATCTCCCAAGTATTGTTTCTAATGAGGGCATCAATTTCTGCTTTTATTGCATCTTTCCATTCCGGTACTTCCAATGCTTCCTGTATTGTTCTGGGAATGGGAACATCAGCAATGGATGCGAGAAAAGACTTATAGGAGGGAGACAAATGATCATAGGACAAGAACTGAGAAATGTTGTGAGTTGTGGATGTGGTGCAACAACGCTTGCCCTTACGAACTGCTATGGGAAGATCAAGATCATCTAATGAAAGTGAAGGCTCCATGGTGAGATGTCTCTCATCTATAGTATCTATGGTACCTGGATCTGGCTCTGCAGAAGGAACTGGGGCTACTGTGGTACCAGGATCTGGATCTGCAAAGGAGACTGGGACTGGCCTGCACTGTTGATGTTCGAAATCAACCTATCTCCATCGTCTATGATAGACTCTCACATCCCTGCATCTCTGACAGCCCTCCCCATTACACCCCTCTTCACTTAATGGGATAGGTGAAGAAACTTCTGACGAGTTAATCCCAACCTTACTACTCTCCCCCTGAGGACAAACCCTTGGATAATAGGGTACATCTTCAAAGAAAGTGACATCCATTGAGACAAATCTTTTTTCAGAAGTAGGTTCATAGCAGCAATATCCCTTTTGAGTTTGTGCATAACCAAGGAAAATAYATTTTGAGGCCTTAGGATCAAACTTGGAACGATGAGGGCCAAGAATTTGAACAAAGCATGTACAACCAAAGGTTTCAAGGGGAATGGTAAATAACTTTTTATCAGGATATAAGAGGGTAAATGGAGGTTTCATGTCAATAACCCGTGAAGGAATCCTATTGATGAGATACACTGCTGTAAGAATAGCATCCCCCCAGAAACGTATAGGCACATTGGAGGTAAACATAATGCCTCTGGCTACCTCCAATATGTGTCTATTCTTTCTTTCAGCAACCCCATTTTGTTGTGGTGTTTGAGGACAGGTACTCCGATGGATAATCCCATGTTCAAGTAAATAGGAGGCTAATGGGTTTGCAAAATATTCTTTCGCATTATCAGATCTAAAAATTTTGATTTTGACCCCAAATTGGGTTAAAATCATCTGATGAAATATCTGAGTTAATGCTAGAACCTCATCTTGAGAACGCATGAGATAAATCCACGAAAAACGAGTATAGTCATCAACAAACAGTAGGAAACATCTATACCCCCCCCCCATGGCAGTGGTATGGTAAGGTCCCCAAACATCAGTATGCACAATTTCAAAGGGAATATTACTTCTATTATTACATAATGAATAAGTTGTCCTGCAGTGT